GCGATCAAAGAAATTCACTTCAGTATATGCTCCGAGGATTCGCCCACAATCTTGTGAAGTGCTGCTGTGAATCCCAAACCGTGACGCCCCAACAGGCATTCCGAAACATGACACCTAGAAGGGTCTGCGTCTGAATCCAACTATTCTCGGAGGGATCTCCGCCATCAGCCTTTGCAAGAAACATGGCCTCCGCTCTCTCCCTCTTCCCGCGCTTCGGTTCCGTTCAACAGAACGCTAAACATTTTGCATCACGCGTGCACCTCCGAAGACAGTGTTTTCATTGGCTTTGCTCCCGACAATGCCTGCTGGAGGAGATGCTGCGACCTAACTGTGAACGTGTCATTGGGTATAAGGGGCCATGTGAGCACTCCCACCTTCACAAGTGCTTCTCAAGATTCAAAAGTTTCGAACGCCCACTTCCTGGAGTGGTGGAGGCGCCCGAGACGGCAGTTCGCCCGCATCGCCGTCCTGGAAAGTTTGTAGCACATCTGCCGACTAAGCTCGCAGCATGAACAGCTTTCCATACAACATGACGCCATTTTTTGCCCTTCTTCGCCGTCAGACATGAATACCTATCGTCTGTCGGTTCAGCGCCTACAAAACCCGGGAAGCTGAACCCGAGCTAAATGCAAAAGCTCTTGGTTTCGGGTGATTCTTTGTTAAACTAAGTGGGGGGGGGGGAACTTTTGGTCGGGCATGGGACGGCTTCATTTTCATAGGCACCTTTGGGAAGAAAGACCACCAGCAGCAGAACATGTCATTGTGTCCTTTCTGCTGCTCCCTATGTGCCCCAAGCTTCAACACCCCGACCGCGGGCTTATGCAGCTGATGGGACGGGCATAGAGCATGAAATGCAATGTTCTCCTAGCTGCCAGCTGAATTTTACGCTCCTGGTCTTGACTTATGCACACACACACACACACACCATCAACGACCTACTTACAGTGCTTGGATCTCGCTTTCTGCATTTGCATCACGATGCCTGGGATCTGGTAACACCGGGTCAGACAGACCTCTGGAACCCGCGCCTCCACGGCCAGGGCACCATCTGCGAGGCAAAGGCGACCATGCAGACCACCCCACCTGTTTAGGGTTTAGGGGTTTAGGGTTTAGGGGTTTAGGGATCTTGGCTGTAAAATGCAAACTTCGCGATGCATGTAGCAGTCTGCCGGCCGCCTCATGAAGCGACCGCCTTTCGCTCCGCCGCCTGGTACAACTGCCTCGTGCAGCACGCATGCACATTCACGTCTGCATGTCTGACGTAAACTTCGGGTCTTGTAAGAACAGCTCCCACAAAGGAGGGGGAAATAGCCAAGGTTGTCATCTTCACACAGACGCAGCGAAACGAAACCGCTGACAGGGAAGCAGCACATGCCGCAGCAGCATGCACTAACAGCTACGAGGGCATCCTTAGCAAACGCCGGATGCTGAAAGCTCCAGAGACCTGAACCTCGCAAAGACTGCGCTGATGGCCTCATAATCGCTGTCCTCCCCCGGGTCCAGGCTGGGCAGCGTGTTCGTCTCCGGCCTCATCGGGACAGAATCACGATGCAGCTGACCATTTGGATCTGCAAGGGCCCAACACCCGACTGCTCCCACCGCCCACGATAGCCGCAGCAGCCGCAAGTAGAGCAGCAGCGGCAACGACAAGCAGCATCATCGCCAACAATGATCTTCCCCATCACTCTCCGAATCATCACATTCAAACGTCTTCAGATCTGAGCAGGAGTGCCGCAACACAAACACGAACAACTAAACTAATCCAAATGCATCAGATCCAGAAAAATAACGGCGACGAGGAACAAACCTTATCTCCAGTGGGCACGCAACTAGTGGCAACAACACGGCAAGCAACAGTAGCAGCAACAACAGCACCAATGGCAACAAAGGACTCCAACGCATCAAATGGATATAACCACAACAAGCGACACATGTAAGCACACACACACACACACACCACCCACACACACACACACACACACACACACACACACACACACACACACACACACACACACACACACACACACACACACACACACACACACACACACACACACACACACACACACACACACACACACACACACACACACACACACACACACACACACACACACACACACAACACACACACACACACACACACACACACACACACACACACACACACACACACACACACACACACACACACACACACACACACACACACACACACACACACACACACACACACACACACACACACACACACACACACACACTCCAGCAAGCACCTAAATCAAACGAGCAAAACATAATTCATGAGCACGAGCATACTGTAGCAACCGCTGCAGCCTCCTCAGTATGCATCTTCAGCTGGTTCAACAACTCTATCACTACCAGCAGTGTCAAGTTGCGAGCAGCAGCAATGTCAACACCGAGCTTGACGGTAAAGCCCGCCGAGGCCGCAGCGGCTTGCAGGATTCGGAGTCCTTCGTCTCTCCCCCGCTGGCACTGGCCGAAGACTCGTCATCGGAGTCCTGGCATGGAACATCTGATATCCTTACGCTTATAAGGCAACACCACATCCGTCAGAAGCTAGATTTGGAAAAGGAGCGCACATACAAGGCATGTATGGAGAAACATGTGTATATGTATGTATACGTATACATGTATGTACGTGTGCAGGTATGTACTTGTAGGTACCACAAGTATGCTCTGGCGGTCGCTGGCGTGTGATTGTTGCAAGAACTGCGCGTTTTCTCGACAGCCGGTGTCGCTGTCTTCCCACGTTACAAAGCAGAACCATGTCCAGGCCAAAGTAGTTCGGTGGTGTGCTTCTGGGAGTACTCTGCTACCAAAGGCGTGCAGCGCAGAGCCTAAACATAGCTTAGGGTTGACACAGTAGCACTGCGACTCCAGAACAGCATCGGGACAAACTCAATAGGTAGCCGCAACCTCTAGACTTTAGACAGCTCCCGAATGTTGACAAACTCTAAGGTTCGTTTGCAGCCGAGCGCAAAAAATCGGACTTTCTTCTGGACCCTGCCGGTTCTGCCTTCTCGTTGCCAGGGACATAGCCTTCTTCCCACCAGTAGCGGACACCTGGGGCCATGACCAACGGCCTGAAAGCTCAACGGCATTAACCCCTAGAAGGCCCTAGAATCGCCTTGACCCCTTTGAGGGAAAAGACTCTGAAGATATTGCCCACAATCCTTCCAGCAACCAGGAACACATTGTCCGGAAGTTCTATGTCATCGGCTAGCGACTGCAAGCTCCAGTGCACGGCATTATGCCGGGGCACTGAACCCCAAACACTAACACCATGTGCCCTGAGCCATACTTGCTGGTTTGCTTCCAAGTCTCGCTTCTTGTTCTTCTCTTCCAGCAGAACTTGGCCCTCCTCGGCATCCACCTCGCCATGCTCTTCATGAAGATGCTTTACGGGTTTGCGACCCACAGCAGGATTTAGAGCTGGGATGTAGGGTTTAGGGTTTAACCTTCAGATCCAGCTTCCTGCCGGGTTGTGTTTTTCTAAATTTTCAAATTGCAGAGCTACGAATTCGAGGGGGTCTCCGGCATTCTCGGCTCCATGCCAGTGCCCTTCCGTAAAGCCTTTTCTGTAGTCACATTATAGCAGGTTGCTTCTCTTCGTCCGCACAATCGAATTTGCAGGCGCAGCCGCCTGCACATGAATGCAGCATGCATGCCTACATGCGATGTCTTCCGGCCTTAGTGCCTGCGCGCGGGTAGATATGTGGAATACATGCATTCATGTTGTCCTCAAATTCCGAGAATATCTGGAGTCACTAGCATGCTAGCAACCAAAAGACCCGCGAGGCTTTCTGCGAGCTTCAGGCAGTTTTTTGTCACTTTGTCCCTTGGCCTGGTCGGCATTGTAGGCGATGTTGCTCTGCGGGATCTTTGCCATGGCTGCTTGCAGCTATGGACTCCGAACTTTGGCTACGGACATGGCGTTTGGGCGGCTGAGGCTATATAAACCAGGATGCTTGATGCGCAGTTGTATGTCGCTTATCAGCCAGGTGCGCCGACTTGTAGTACAAGACAACCTCTAACTACAAAACACTGTGTCGTGAGATGGGAGCCGAAAGTACCAAGCACGGACATACGACAGAGGCAGCATCAAGAACAGATTGCTGCTGTTTAATCCACTGCAAGCACCACTAAGCCATGCATCTCGCAATCAGTAGACGTTCCACAGGCCGCAGTCCCACCCCCCCATGACTGCCGGTGCGAAGGTCGCTATCGGGTGCGGGAGGTCCGCGTGCAACTCCAGAGCAGTGTGCCACAGGTCTCCGAGCGACGACAAGACTCAGGCACCTATGTTGGAAGTCGGAAGATGTTGTGACAAGCCCTACGAGACCGCAACACAAACCGTAAACGTCACATGTCAACCACGGCCAGAGAAACCTTCTCATGCTGCGTGCGAAGCCTTTGCACGAACCCAACTCTGCACCCCAGGTCTACAGCTATGCGCTCCAACAAGGAGCCTTCGATTTCTGTTTGTCTGCCGGTCGAATTAAACTCAACTAAAGCTTTCGTTGCTGAACTGTAAAGCCGTACAATACAGTGAACACATCTCAACACAGATCCGCTTCATGCTTTAAAGCGGTGCAGGTCCCCAGCAAGAAGCAAAGGGCTAGACGGCGCATAGCTGCCCTTATGGCTCACTACGAGTTGTACGTTCGGCTGTTACTTATACAAATGCTCGCGGCAGATAAGATAGTGTAGGTTGAGGTTGGTCTTCTCGACTCGGAAAAAAAGGTTCAGGGGTTATAGGGTGTGAACTCCAGTGCTCGGGGCCGTGATCACAGGATTCTGCCACTGCTGGTATTTCTATCGCGGTCTTGTATGATTGATTGAAACCCCCACTGCTACTGAAGGATCGCAAAGGATGTGAAATCCTTCGAGACACTCATAAACCAGGATAGGCTTCATGAGCTTCAGAACCTCGACTACACCCAGAACTCCAAACTCTGAATTGTAATCACGGCCTGGAGATCTTGTTTGAAGAGGCCGGTGCCAGTTGGGATGCCATGGCCTCGCCACGTGCCATTGCTTCTGGATTGTTGGAAGGTTTTGACGTCTCATACGCTACGAGTCTGTACAAAAAACATATGTTCTCATCAGTATTTGCGGGCGTCTAGTTTATGTCAGTGTACATAATCACCAAGCTTCGCGAGTCTCAGCACGCGCCCGCCCCCCAACACTGTAGCCCAAACCCTCAGCCCTTGCAGTTATCGTTGAAGCAACCCTACTTTAGGCCTACACACCACACCGTGCGTACCCTGCCCAATGTTTTGAGCTAAATCAGAGCTTCGAGACTCGAAACTCAGGTATCTACGGAAACCTGGAAAGCCACTACGAACAGATGCTTCAGGCTCTCTCCTCCTGGATGCTCAAACCACGTGGATGTGGAAGAGTCGAACCTCGAGGTCCAGGGCCGTTGGCGTAGAATCTTTCAGTCAACGAAGTAGCTGTATAGATGGTATGTCGGACTCAGTTTACATCTTGCGGCTTGTTGTGGAAATTCTGATGAAATTCTGATATCGTTGCATGGGTTGGCACCGTCCCAGGTCTGAGGAACACCGACGAAGTGAAGAGCTGGCCAAGAGAAAGGCAGAGTTCGAGAAAAAAACCATTGAGACGAAGTTCAAAGACAGTAACCCCAAGCCTCAACTCTCCACCGCCCAAAGTCTCTTGAGTTAGCAGTCTCGTCGTCCTGGCAATTTCGGTGGCAGCAGTCGCGCGCTGGCGGTGGTGGTCGGTGGTAGAAGTAGACGTAGAAGCAGTAGCAGTACCAAATGCCAGCAATACCCTCAGCTTGTCCTGAATGCCAGAACCCTACAGCCTTGGACAGTGACACCCTTCTTGCGAAAACACCCTGCAACTCCGGAGAACAAGACTAATCCTGACTGAAAAAGTCTTGCGTTGCCTCACAGAGCAATCCCGCTTTGAGAGCAGGATTAGAACGCCAAGTCTCTGAGCCTTATTGATTGCGCAAAAAGACCATTCCACTACACCCAGCAATCCCATAACCTCACAAGCACTCAAAAGCTTGAGGTCGCAACCGGCGAGAGCCTGTAAAAGTGCCCGAAAACCACACCTTTAAAAACACACCGTTAATAAGCCCTACCATCAAATACCAAACTCCGACATCCGAAGCAGGACACGAGTAAACCTATGCATGCATAAGCTCAAACAAAAGGAAAGTACATACATATGCATAGGCCGATGGATAGATAGACAAATAGTTAGATGCACAGACAGGTAGAAACGTAGATAAACGGAGAAGTAGAGAAGTCGATAGGTGGATAAGCAGAGAGAGAAAGAGAGAGAGAGAGAGAGAGAGAGAGAGAGATCGATCGAGCGATCGATTGGCACGCACACACACAGAACTCTGAGACACCGAAATCCCCAAAGTTCCAAGACGCTGAACCGGAGCTCCGGACAAGGCGGCGAGGGCTTCGCTCCGGAGCTTCGGCACCAGGAGATCATTGGCCCCTAGGCTTACCTTTGGTTAGTAGGGAATGGAAGAATGGGGTACAACTAGAACTACTATGACTACCATTCTTCCATTCCGTACTCACCAAGGGTTAGCTAAAGCTAGGGGAGAACTCGGGTTCGAGAGAGCTCTTGGGCTGTGCAGGTACCACGGTCCAAGGGGCCCGGGCGCTTTGAGTGTTATGCGGTTCAGACTCTCACAACTTGGATGTTGTGTGCCTTAGGAATGCGAGTAGGGCTTTAAGGCTTTAAGGCTTAAGGGTTTGGATTGGCGATAAGAATTCAGGCTTCATGCGCCCGGAACCCTAGAAGCCCACTTAAGCCCCGCAGCAGTTCAAGCTACATTCATTGAAGTCTTTTGGATGCCGGCCAGGCTCTGGACAAATTAGGCTTCGGGTGTCGGGTTCACAGGAGGGCCCGCATGCAGGGGGCCCACACAAGCCTACACCCAGGGCTTGGGCCCGAAGTATGATTAGCCTGGGTACAGTAGAAGCTTTCAGTTGTCGTGTGCCAGAAAGTCCGAACCCTAAAGGCGAAGTCTCAACTCTAAAGGCTGACATGCCAGAGCCAGAAGAACAAATCTTCTAAGCAATTCTGATATCTCGGATTTGGAAGTGCGCTTCGAATACCTCCCCCTAGAAAATGGATCATCCACAAAAGCCCTGGGAGCCGAGAATTCGGCCGGATACGTGGAGTGAATGCACTTGCAGCCTGTGTCAGCCGTTCTGTGTTATATGTACGCATGTATATGTATATACACATACATATTGTAGAACAGAATCAACCAAGAACCAAATACATAAACTAATATATCTATGAATGAATAATAAGATAAATGAATGTATAGGCATATAACACAAACACACACACACACATATATATATATATATATATATATATATTAATATTAATATTAATATTAATATTAATATTAATATTAATATTAATATTAATATTAATATTAATATTAATATTAATATTAATATTAATATTAATATTAATATTAATATTAATATTAATATAACTGACAAGTTTACGATGGCAACTTCTTGTCTTCACACGTATTCAAGAGCTGCTTTTGGCTGAATGCAGACCCACACATGGCATGGGGGAGAGTCTTGGCCTCACTACGCCGCAGTGGTTGCTATGTGGTAATATGGGTTCTAGTTCTAGTCTAGCTGCTAGCTAACCTACGTTAATACATGAGCTGGCCGTGCTTTGCTGTGTTTTCACTAGAGCAAAAGTAGGTTAGCTTGTCATCTGTGCACAAACTATCGCCGCCTTTCCGTATGCAACTGCGGGCACTGGAGGCATGGAGTATGCATCCTCTTGCCTTTGGGTAGTAGGGAATGGAGGAATGGTGTACAATTATTCCTACTATTGCTACCATTGTTCAGTTCCATTCCCTACTAACCAAATGTAAGTCCTGAAAGTTCCGGGGCTGCCGGTTGAAGCGCACTTAAGGCAGGGCCATGGCTTGGGCTTATGGCTTTCCTGTGACAGTGGCCGATGCTTCGTCCAAGCTGGCGGTGACGAAAGCAAAAGAACCTCAGCCCTGCGCTGGAGCCATGAATGTGCCCTACACCCTAAACCCTATATAAACCCTAAACCCCATATAAACCCTAAGCAACAGCTCATAAGGATGGTTTTGAACGGCTGGCGACCTCTGAAATCAGGGGATGATTTGCCACTCACGCACACTCTCGAAACCCTAGGGTTTAGGGTTTAGGGTTATATATATATATATATATATTTTTTTTTTTCCTATAAAGCCAAACTCCGACCTGGACTTGCAAAAAGCCAGATACGCTCGGGCGCTGACACATCTCCGTGCAGATATGCAGCCTCGAGTCCGGGTCGACTCCCGAACGCTGAACACAGTCATTCCAACAGTTCTGCACCCATCTTACCAAGGCTCCACAGAAGATGTCAACGAAGCTTTCGCGGTGCCGTATGGGCTGATTTGCCAAATGCTACAGGATGGCTTTTCGATTTTTCACGTCCTTGCTACCAGGAAGGATTTTGGGGACGCAGTTGATAGGCACCAAGAGACGGATTTAGGATTTCAGGGCTCAGACGCAAGCGCAGGACCGTTGATCGACCGGAAAAAGACAAAGAGAGAAAGCGACAGGGAGACAGACAGGCAAACAGAAGCATTCACATGTGCTCGTGCGAGTCTCAGCCGAGATCATCAGCACGAAACGCAAGTGCAGTGAAGGAAGCTAGCGACAGACCCGTACGAACTGTCTTTGTAGCACCTCGGACCTATTGAACTTGCCTGTAACTCTCGAACATATCGAGAGAGTAAGATTGGAGAACAAAGGCAAATTCCTGTTGGACTGCGATGCGTTTTTCTGACAAAATGCACGCAAGCCAGGCAAGTAGGTATTGCTGAGGACCCGGGGCAAGTGCTGCGACAAATTCGGTGTTCAAGCTCCTTGTCGCTACTGCGCCGGCTTCCGATAGCATGCAATAGTTGTACAAGCTCTACTTTCAGAGCGCCTGCTTGGGCAGCAACTTCTGCACGCCCGATAAGAAAACTTGCACACGAATTAAGTTGGCGATATGCGGATAGAGCCCCTCGCAGGACTCTCTTTGAGCAACACTTCTAGTGAGTACCCACTGTAAAAATGCATTGCATTCGAATTCTCTTAAAATCAAACAGATACCGTATCAGAAGCGCTTGCAGACCTGGCATTTTGGCCCAGCCTTTGTAAAAGACTGCTCGTGGCAAAGCCCACGTTCGCGAGGTTTTTCTCCAGCATCTGCCCCATGAGGTCTCTGATTTGGTCGTCCATGCTCTCTAGGCTGCCCAACGACGAAACGATGAAATCGAAGATACGTGTCCTGCTGCAAAAACACGTGTTAGTCGTCTTCAGAACTACTTCTGCTCTGTGGGCTCAATTGGCTCAGGCTTAGGCATCTGCCAGGAGTGCGCTTATTCTGTTGTGAACTGTGTTTTTGGAGTCATGCACTGGTTGTCTGTCCTGTCCCCATCACTTGAAGCATAGCAGTTCGCGACTTGCAAAGACTCGATTTTCTTGCCAAGCTCTAGCGCAATGTCGAAGGATGTGCAGCCGTCGTCTCCTATTACGCCAACATCGGTTGCAAACACAAGCTCCAACTCGAGTTGCTTGGAGAGCAGGAACTCGAACAGGCACCACACTCCTGGCATTACTGCATGGTGCTGCTATGTGCTGCTTGTCCTCCAAAACAAAATTAAACGAACTCCGCGCAAGCCGTTCTTGAAGCCTTAGAAACTCAGTGCAGAAGCCCTCTGAAGAAGCAGGGCTCTGGTCAAGGGCTGGACTTCATGGTCCAACACCATGGCCACGCCCTTGATGCCGCCACGCAGGGTCCGGGCAAAAGCACTGTCCATGATGGTCTCTCCCAGCCTGACCACGACGAAACTCGCACTTACCGGCTGGGAAACCATCTTTGTGAAGATCCCGTCGGGAAAACAATACTAAGTACAAGAAGAATTTATGAGTATGCCGTGCCCGACACGCCCCCCCAATCATTGGAGGAGTCGCTGTTAATGTCTTGCCTGTGAAGTTGGTTGCTCCCTGAAACCTCGCCTGACTCTGTCGAGTATGAGTGCTAAAATAGTATGTATGCATTTATGTATGTATGTATGCATGTACGGGATTCATGTATGCTGGCGTGTATGCAGTATGCATATGTTTGCTGGCAAACACACTATATCTAAATACACAGCTAGCTGTGAAATTCACAGCTAGCTGTAGTTCTTTCAGGATGTTAATGATAGTGCAAAGAATTCGTAAACCCTAAACCCTTTCGGCATGTACAGTCGGGTTCCTGCGCGGACTAGTGCAGCTCGGGCCCAAACGAACCCAGCAGCGCACGATCCCGTTGCATGGTTCATATGCAGGACCAAAATCGGCGATGCGTTAGAAGGTGTCCAGTGACGTTGGTCTCATGCCGCTTTCGCACACGCCGTTTCCATTGAGAGTTTTTCCGTTTTTTTGATGCACGCAAGAATTGCAAGGCAGGTGCTCCATGAGGGGGCGAGCTGTAATTAAAGGCGGGGATTGCAACCTCGGGTCGAGCCGCATGATTGCGGTTCTTGCGTGGCAGCACGCTACAGACAGTATTGGTGGGAATCACCAAACACCGAAGCACAAATTGTTTCAGCTCTGTGAGGCACGACTTGTTTGCTATGTGTCAAGCCTCATAGTAAATCTATATGTAAACTTTCAATGTGCAGATTCAAGGCTGTAGAGTGGTCTGAGCGATTTTTGAGCGTCTTCCAGCGGGCTTGTGTGGACCCAGGGTGGTCTTGGAGTGGTCTCAAACTGCTCTTGCATCCATTTCAGCATACCAAAAGTTGCGTGGTTGCATCTGGAGTTGTCATTTTGTGGGCTTGGAGTGGTCTCAGAGTGGTCTTGATGCAAGACTTGTAGCGTAGCCTTGTCCGAGAATTGTCCTCTTCGTGTGCAGGCGTCGATGGTTCTTCCCTGTTCATAATCCATGGTTAATGGGTAGAGACGGACGGACTGAATCTGCTGAACCGAAAGGCGTGATAACCGACAGTGCGAGTTCTTGAAGCAGTCCTGCGATCCTCATTCCACATCAATCCTCACGAGCCGATGATGGGACAGAATCCCATGGGTACGGTCGGTATTGCCTGTCTTGGGTTTCGTGGTGGGGTTGAAGGCCCGCCACCCGCAAACCACTACAGCTCACGAGGCTTTGCAAAGGCTCAGCTCCACAGCGACTCACACACTGCAGTCATACATACTTACTTACTTGCATGCATGCACGCATACCGAAACTCTAAGCGACAACCCTTCTTGCACACAAGGAACTCCACTTCGAGGTTCCACTGGTTATTCGCAAAAGAGCAAATCCAGTAGCTCACATCCATCCTTTGCTTGGTCCGGCGGTGGGGGCTTGGCAAACTTGGGTTTGTAGAGTTTCCTTGGCTCCGTCAGGACCTCTGGTTGCATCCGCTCTCTAAAGCTCAGAGGATGTTGCTGGCCACCTCGCTTGCTTGAGTTCGGGTTTGCGGCCTAAGGCGAAGGCTTTACTGCAAGGAGCAGAATAATGTTCAACTGTTCTGTTGTCTAAGTTTCACACTTGGAGCAGACCTCTTGTTCCCACGGGTGCTGCCAACTACGGAAGATAAAGCCAAGCTAAAGGGATGTAGGATTGAGCGTCCGGGCATTGAAAGACTCGCAACTCGGAGGTTTAAGCGTAGCAGTTCTACAGTAGAACCGCATGTTGCTCTCTTTCCAAACGTGCAATGGAAGGCCGAGCTGGATCAAACTCTCCAGATACCGGCAAGAAGCCAACGCTGACCTTCCCTGGACCGAGCATGACAGTGAATCGAGCGGACAAAGTGTGCAAAGCTTGTTGCCCAGGAGTGGGACACGAAGTAGTCCACCTTGGGAGGGCTGCCGTCACCAATTCAGTCAGTCGGACAGATCTCAAGGCGCTTGAAACCCACGCTCTGGATCCATTATGCTGTATGACTGCTTATTCACTACTTAGACCAGCAGGCTAACTGATGTTGCTCACATCATGTTTTTGACGGCCGTGTTTGCGCCATAACTGTTCTCTTTCTTCCAAGACTCAATATGTGTGTATATATATATATGTACTCATTTATACTATATACATATGCATCTACATATACATGTATCCATATATGCATACATACATAGACAGGGCCCACATGTTTCGATCCACGTGCCTGTCTTCCGCCCCAGAGGCTCACGAAGGACAGCTGTCTGTCACGAGTCAAAGGCCTGACTATGTGGTTGACCACAAAATGCATGTTGCGATCGAGGATGAAGCTCTCGAAATGTCCCCAGAGCTCCCACAGGGTCAGGACCATCAAACCTGAGCTTCAGCAAATGATGCAGATGCAGCAAATCGAAGCTGCTAAGTACCGTGAGTTGCTATGCGCCTACGTGGCTTTTCCACCGGCTACAGGTCTAGATCGCACACGCTCTGAGCCCAGAAACCGTGGTTGCTTGGATGCACCGCATCCGGGCCAGGGTGGGGGTCGCACTGGATGCGCCACCGGTAGTCCTCCAAGAGTTTAGAGAAGGGTGTTCTGCGGCAGTGCTGCTCAATGAGCCATGCAACAGGCGGGTGAAGAATCAGAGCTCCCAAACACAACGGGAGTGCACAGTATCCGGAAGTGACAAGAACGTGTGCAATGCCGTTGCCCGACATGATTGCAACTTGAAGAGCGACCGGCAGTAACACCACCAGGAACAAAGCTGCACAAAGTAGCAGCATCAGGCGCATGAGGTTCATAGCATGCAAAGCACCGACGGCGGCAGCACAATCATATGGAACATGCGCATCTTGTACTTCAAGTTTGCTGCGGTCGATACTCTGGATCTTCACTGCGTTGGCATTCTCGGGGCTGAAGTCCAACCATTGCAGGCCTGTGCCTTTGACGCGATAGCAGAGCTGCCGATGGAGCTGCCGTGAGAGGAACTGTGGGAGATCGACAATGGGGCCTTGCAAGGACATGCAAAACGACCTCTGATCCATCCCTTCTGGGAATGCTTTGCCTGCAGCTTTGCGCAACCTGCGAGGGATCCGCTGCGATTTTGCATCGATGATAACCAAAGGTGCGCGCAGGATCTGATACAACACGAAGGCAAGGAAAACACAGCTCCCGGATGCTACAACGATTGCAGCGAGCTCTGTGTCATCCTGTGGCAGGAAGTGGCAGATGTCAGATTTGCCATCAGACCAAGCATTGTATGGTGCGCACTTCCGACATGTCCCATTGATGAAAAAGGTGTGAGGCTTGCAGACAGTGCAAGTGCTCATTACGTCTTGCAGCATCACCATGTGAAGGT